GAAGTTTAGTGGAATATTTTTTCTACAATTTATTATCTGATGTGCCTTATGAAAAGTGTAGTGCATGTTGAAAAATGAGCTCTCCAGATCAAAAAAATAAACCCACTTTCCATTCTGAAATAAATCTAGAACATGGGGCTTAGAATTCAGTTTCCTCTTGTTTAGTCTACAATCTCTGACAGGTAAGGCTTTTTGGATACACTGAGAATTTCATCCAAAGAGAAGCATTTCAAGGCTGCTGTCTGTCATTATGGCTTAAGTTCCTGCCCCCCCTTAACATCCTAAAATAGATCAATGTGATTTCACTGTAGCAAGGATGAATGGAGCTCCAGGAAACCATCTTTGGCCTGCCCCACCTCTTGAATTCTCAAGTTGATGTGGTCCATCTGACTTTGGATGCAGTCTCGGTAATGGGACATTCAAATCTTAGTTTATTGCTGGACTGAATGTTAGCCTTATGAAATAATCTTTTAAACCAGGAAGATGAAGAAACTTCATTGCTATGCAAAAGGCAATCCCATCCGTTGAGTGTTTGAAGTACTGACAGTTTAATTCTATGTCTGATTAATCACAAATAAGTAAATTTACATTGCATTTTAACCTAAAATTGTTTTGCAGCTCTTATTAATAGTATCTCTTCTCCTTCTCCCCAAAAAAGAATCCTGAATGAGCTTAGGTCCCTGAAACAATTGAGATTGCTGAAGGAAGCCATGGTTTTTTTGGATTCCCTGGATAAATTATGTCATTTAAAACTTTAAATGTCAAATTTACTCAATCATTACATTATAATCTCGTATTTCTTTGGGAAGTAACAACATCTGCTCGGCAAGGCCAGTTTATTTTTTCAAACTTAGCAACTTAAAGATATTGGGGCTTCAACTGCCAGTATTCCCCAGCAAGTGCAGACATTTTAAAGTTGTTACGGTTGAGAAACATTATTCAGGACAGAGTACAGTAATGTAAATCAGTCTCTCCACCCAACCAGCTTGCAAGCCTGAAAGTTGTGGCTCAGAATCATTCAGTGAACTTGATAGTTGACGAGAAACTTGAAACTGAATGAAGTTTCCCGGTCCAAGTCCTACTTCTTAACCTTTATACATATTACCCAATGGCCAATGATTTCCAGGAGATGTGGAGGCACAATGAATGCCTCTTGAGTGTGAGAAAGGCCAACTTCATTTGTTTGTTGCCAAAGTCCAAGTTTTGGACAGGCTGCTCTGTTGGCATGGCTCACACTTCACCTACTTCATTGACATGTTTACTGAGCTTTTATAGATCTGTTTGTCCCGTCTCAGCATTAATGGTTAAGAACCAAATTACAAACTGCCTTCTGTGCTGTGACAATCAGATTCTTTTTGGTGGCAATTCTGACCAATCTTCAGCTTTTCATTCAGATACTACAATTTAGGCTTCTCTTTTATTCTAAAACCTCCCCTTTAAATATATATATATATATATAGGCAAGGACAATGTGCTGGGCTACACACAGCTATCATCTTTATTTTTGAACAATGTCTGTAGTCTCTAAAGAGTGTGTTGTAAATTCTGAGGTGCCAAAGGTTAGTACTTTTCTTTGCAATGTGCCAGTTTCCCATTGAAAAAACACACTAATCAATTGATGTCTATGGGGATTCTCAGTCATCCAGGTCATGGTTGTCCCAAAGGTGCTTTTTCAAGAGGCAACTGGACTTCTTGATTTTTCTTTGAAGATGTTTTGCTTCTCATCCAAGAAGGTTCTTCAGCTTGGAAGAAGCAAAACACCTTCAAAGAAAAACCAGAAACTCCAGTTGCCTCTTGAAAAAGCACAATTGATGTGAGACAGGACAGGGAACCTGGTGGGTCCAGAGAATTGCTCTTTAGCCACACTTGGTCACACCATTAGGTATCCTTTCTGTTTTTCACTTATTATCTATAAAGATGATCACACACCTATTTTTACTTCTACCTCATGTATGTGGATGGATGAAAAGAAGATACTGTGAAGCTGTCTGCACCCTTCAGATTACATTAGACTATGACTCAGAGCCTTCCCAGCCACTGTGGATACTGATGGTTATAGTCCAAGACAGCTGGCAGGTAAAAGGTTAGACAGACTATTGCATAGCACAGGTGGAGGAGAAAAGATTCAAAGTCTAAGTGATATGAGCAGTGAAGAACCACTCAAAAGGAATTCTTTCCCCTTTTCCCCCTAATTTGTACATGTGATTTCTATATGACCTTAATTAGTTTTCCATTAAAAGATTAGAGTTCATGAATTTACAATAAGAGGCACATTCTGATCAATCTGTTTTTTTAAACCTCAAGATCTTTAATTAATCCCTTAGGCAACTATTCATGTATTTATTTATTTATTTAGAAAATTTATATTGCCACCTACTCGCACATGGTGACTCAAGGTGGCTTAAAGGACATAAAAACACTCACCCCAAAGTTAAGATAAAATGGATTCCTAGATAGCAAACGTTTTCAGCACCTCGACCAACACGTAACTGGGGATTTTCCAACTTGGCATCCTACACAAGACGTAAGACACATTTGGTAGCCACCTACAGGGCTCTCATGTCAGTTTTATTCATTGGACTTCCCAGGTGGTAACTATGGACTCCAGTGAGGTCAATTCAGACACAATAGTGTTGTGGAAGTACCAACACCAACATTTATCTATCAGGAGAAAAACAAAGCTTTTGTATCTTCTGTTATCTACAGTTCCTCTGATACCAAATGCAAGTACACTTAGTGGAAAGAAACCAGTATTCCTACATGTAGGGTAGCCATGTGAGTTTGCGGCAGCATAATTACAAAGATACTCAGGGATTAAAAATTAAAATTATTTGATTATTTGGTCAATTACCTCCATCAGATGCATAGAATATTCATTTGATATGGGCCTCTGATTGCAATGCTGCAATTCAGGCAACGTGCTAAATCAAAATATGGTTTGTTAAACACCTTTTAATATGGCTTATGAAACAAGTCCCAATGGCCTAATTCATACAAAATTCTTAACCCAAATGATTGGTCATGTATCACATGAAGTCCAAAATAAACAAAACTATATTGTAGCAGAAGAAAATTAGTATAGTGGTAAGATAAGTGTGGAAGATAACAGATGACAAATTGCTATCCTGGTATTCATAAAACAGTTGTTCAGGGTGATGCAGAAGTTCTCGCTGGAGTGCAGTTACATGATCCAGCATCTATGATCCTGGTTTAGTCTTGGTTGTCCCTCTGACATCTGATATGAGGTAGCCATCATATTAATTTTGCATGATACAGGTGATGCAAAATAAATTGCTGGTGGTTTGTAGAAGGGAGTTAAATCAATGATCCATTCAATGCTAAACTATGGTTAGCATCAGCCATGGTGTGCTAATGATCCTGTAGTGTGATTTTTTTTAGACAAAAATGATTTAAGACAAAATGATTTTGATCCATTCCAACATGTTCTGTTCTTGGCATTTAAAAAAATCTGCTTTTAAACATTAGAATTCCCACATTCAGATGTTACAGTGAAATGTAGTTAGTTTAAAAACAAAAGTTAATACTTGGGTTATTTTATCCTAGCAAATGAATATATCTATCTATATAAAAAAGAGAGCCATGTGGAGAAAGAACATTTGAAACCAAGGCTCATCCAGGAATGATAAAGAATTATTTCTTAAATTCAAACATAGGCTGATCATATTATAAATGCAAAGGGCTACATCAAAAGCAAGGGAGGAAAATTAGACAGAAAAAACAAGCTACTAAAGTAGCCCAATTATAGTTTAAATTAATCTCTGTATTGCATTACTTAATTAGAACAGGAATCCCCAAAACAGATGTGCAATTACATAATAAATCTACAACAGTTCAGACACAGTTTAATCTATTGCAAAGAAAGGCTGTTTCACTTTTCTTTTTCTTTGCATGGTCCTAAAAACTCACCCAGGCCACCAAAATAAGTGGCATGTAGCCAATGTTCGGTTTATTCAAATATGGAAGACGAAATAAAATTTGTTCAAAAGCATGTCCTCCAAGTACCTATGAACACTGGTAAACCAACATTTGCCATCATTTATTGCTACACGAACATTGCCAGTAAAAAGATTTTGGCATCTTCAGAATGAAAGTCATTTCCCAACAACTATGCACATTTACTCAGAGTAAATTTCCTGACTTAAAAAAAATAGGCTTTCTGGAATTTTGAACAGATAATAGTTTTTTTTTCCCATTCCAGTTTATCTTACATGAGCAAATATTGTTTCAATGACACAGTATTGTGATACCCAAGACTCAGCAAAGAAGATTAAAAATTAGTTGAGATTATCTGATGGAAAAAAGTTTCCATGTGAATTTAGACAAGATTTCCCCAATTTAGAACTTTTCGTGTTATAGATTACAATCGACCAATGGTAAGTCAGGCTTACCTGACTAGATATTGATACATCTTTGAATGAGCTGTCATATATCCTCTATAAATAGAAAAGAAGCCCATTGCTATTCAAAATATGATTTCCCCTTTTTTCCAAGCCAACAAGCATGCACATTTCATGGTGTAAAAGGGATCTGTCAGTGGGGATATACAAGGAAGATACAATTTTGCACAGCTGCTCTATTAGTTAAGACATCCCCACACTGTGCATGAAGTAGGCATATCGTTTTAAGAAAAATATATCAGATTCACGTGCAGTTTCTGCTAATGTAGCAACACAATGTACATTTCAGAAATGGGCTGTAGTATTCCTGAAGCCTACAAGACTAAAAACGCAGGCAGGGAAATTCTCCGTTTTGAGCCTAATGTCCTAAGAGGCACAGTTTTAGACATCCACTTGGGAAAAAAATAATTTGACTATGTGGTAGTCCTCACAGTTGTCGTGCAGACTTCTTAGGAGAACCCCTGGTTCTAGCCAGCGATGAAATTGAATTTTTTAAACTATCAGTTCTGTGGCGTGGCTTGGTGGGTGGGGCAGGATACTGTGAAATCTCCATTCCCATCCCACTCTAACGCCAGCCAGAGGTGGTATTTGCCGGTTCTCCAAACTACTCAAAATTCCCATCACCGGTTCTCCAGAACCTGCTGAATTTCACTCCTGGTTCTAGCTCTTCCTACACCTGTATACAGTGAATTCATGGTTCAACTTTCAGTTCCATCAAAGTGTAGGCCAGCAGTCATCAACAAAGAAACTACCACTAGTGGGAAAACCCTCAGTTTGGTCCACCTCAGCTTCCCAGCTCACGTTCTTCCACATCTCCATTGGGAAGAGATAATTTTAGCAGCATGTTCAGGGGTGGATCTTAACTGTGCACTCTGGAGTAGAGAGAGATTCTCAGCCAAAGTCACCTCAAACCACCCTTGGTGATTAAACCACCATTTCCAAGGCCTTTGTATAAAAAAACCCACCACCCTATACAAAACAACAATATTTTTTCCACCAGGACTTGGAGAGGTTTTTCATCTTGTCTGGAGTCCTGTTTTTGGATTTCTTTGGCTGTTGCTGAGTATCTGAGTAGTGAATGCCAGCCACAATGGCTGCATCGAAGACTTCTTTGAGGTTTTTCTGAGTCAAAGCTGAGCATTCGATGTAAGAGGCGGCTTTTATTTCCTCAGCACAGAGCCTTGCGGTCTCCTCCACCACAGGCTTCTCTTTGCATTTGTCAAGCTCAATGAGTACTTTGACATCTTCTCGGAGGTCCGATTGGGTCCCGACGAGAATAATAGGAGCCTTGGGGCAATGACATCGGATTTCAGGTACCCATTTCTCAGTCACATTCTGGAAAGATGAAGGGCTCACAACACTGAAGCACAACAAAAAGATGTCTGTGTTGGTGTAGCACAGTGGGCGGAGCTTGTCAAATTCATCCTGTGCAAAAAATAAAAGTAAGGTGAATAAGTAACTTTAGAGTAACGAAAGGCTCTTTCTAAGCTCCCTAAAAACAATGCGTAGGGTACAAAGTGGTGGTTTTCCTGACTGATATATAGCAAAATGATTCTTATCAGCTATTAAATGAGCATAAAACATCTTCTATAAAAATAACAGCCATAACCATTTTGCAGGAGAGGTCATTCCCACCCACTGCACCAAGGTGGCAGGTAGCAAGGAACCAGTTGTCTGAATGCTAGCTCAGAGAGAAGGAAAGAGGACATGGAAGACAAAAATCCCTGAACAGAGAGAACGTACGACTGTAGAGGAAATTAGAACTCCTTGACACAATTTTATTTTTGTTGTTTGATATGGAAAATTATTTTCCACAGTGCACAACTACTTGGCAAAACCTCAAATAGGCTGACCCGTGTGGTTCCACAATACAGAAATGTGTGCACAACCAGAGACAGCATTCAGCATCACTATTAGCTGGCAACCATATTTGGAAAACAGAATTGGTTCAAGGGATTGGCTTTGCTGTGATGCATCTCTGGTGAAAGATGCTGCCTTTAACAGAAGGCAGGAACTAGTGTTGATGTTGGCAGAACAGAAATTACAGGAGGTTCTCATTATCTGTTGTGCCATATATCCATGTTTTGCCTATCTAGGTTCAGTGATGGGATTCAATTTTTTTTTACTACTTGTTCTGTGGGTGTGGCTTGGTGGGTGTGGCAGGGGAAGGATACTGTAAAGTCTCCATTCCTTCCCAATCAGCGGGGACTCGGAAGACAGAGATTCGATGGGGGTGGAGCCCATCAGAGGTGGTATTTACCGGTTCTCCAAAGTCAAAATTTCTGCTACCAGTTCTCCAGAACTGGTCAGAACCTGCGGAATACCACCTCTGCTACAGTTGTTAGGTATACATTTCACCGAGTTGTCGTTTTGCCTTGCTTTTTGCTACTTTTTGCACATGCAAAATGGGGAGGGGGGATGGTGTAATCAGGTTTTGACACATGCATAAAGTATTACGGTCTTGTTATCTATGATTGTGAGGTGGGAATGGAACTCCCCTCCCAGACAGCAAGGGTAATCTGTGTACAACTTGGATTGAATACCTATATGAATTAGAGAAAATGAAAGAACTGGAGACCTTCATGAAGTTAATCAGGAAATACTAAAGTATTAAAGTATTTCAACTGAAAAGGAACACTGCCATATGTAGTCATCTTCAATTGAAGAAAGCTTGCCTAACATATCTCAGGGATCACAATCATAAAATGGCCAATAAACTGCCAATGCAAATGAGGAAATTCATTCAGGAATAGATCAAATCTAACATACTAGCTACTAGCATACTAGCATTTTAGCAAAGAGTATTAGTGTTTGTGTGTGTGTGTGTGTGTATATATACATATACACATACCTGCACACAAACTGCACAGACAAATACATTTAGTGTACAGATACACATATATTTAATACCATAGCATAGAATTTGTGAATGGGTCATGTCTATGCTACTGTTTGCTGTCTTTTTAATAGCTGCTTTGATGCAGTTACTTATTAATGGACTATTTTAGCTGTTTACAAAACTCCAGAACCACTTTGATAAGGGGTGGCGGCAGAAGAGAATGAATGAATGAATGAATACACAAACACCAGACAAATTTTGTTTCAGCTGAAATCTATTACCTTACACTATATCATAATATTTATAAATTAATTGGATTTTAATTTATTATTTAATTTATAGAGAGTCGCATGCTATTATGGTCCATTGGCATGGGATTTATTCAGTAGTGTCCTTTCCATCATCCTTCATTTAGAGCTTTGTAGGTAGCAAACTGAATGCCTGTATATCCAATGTCTGCATATATAAATCAAATAAAAAATTGAATAAATCAAAATTATGGAATTTAAGTTAACATCTTCCTTGAAATACCACTGCTAGGATTGCATTTCACATTGAGACATTGTTTTAATGCTGTTTTTTTGGGGGGGGGCACAAACCATAAAGGACTGTTTCTTTTATATAGTAATACTAAGCCATAAACTCTGGTTTAAAACCATGGGACTTATCCACACTCTGATAAAATTACAGTTTAAATTAGAATTTGAACCAAGCCAAAATGAATTTTGTTTTTTGTGTATTGGCTTACAATTAGTGATCCAAACCTTGGATCACTTTAGTTTTACGGTCACAATGGTGCACTTATTGCCTGAAACTGGGTCTGTCCATCTTGCTGCTGGCAATCAATTTCTCCTTAGACCAAATGTTTCCCACCCACCCATCCCAGGGATCACATTGCTCCTTTAAAGAGGCATCAACAGACAAAGCATGCATGCCCAAACTTAATTTGAAGCATCTTTTGCTTCCCAAGAACAACACTCTTTTACCAGTCTACCTTTACATAACTTTCACTTCTCTGATTGGGGAAATTTGTTTGCTTGTTCATTCACTCTTACTGAATCATGAAAGGTTTTACTACTGAAGACAAAGTTGCTGGAAATTTGAAACTAACTTTCTGGCAAATTCTACACACCAAGGAAAGAATACAGCATCCAAAAATCATGCCGATAACACAAAAACCTGCTTTAGGTTAATATTTACTATTGCTTTCTATTGCAATGATCTGCACTAAAAATAATCCCTTCACCAACTTCCTGGTTCAATACAATGAACGTTGTCCTATATGCTCCGTTTTGGAACTCTTTACACAATACACTTTAGAAAAACTCGGCTTTTATTGTTAGATCTGAACTGAACTTTTTTGTTGGAAAAAGAGAGCTCCCAAACAGCCTGATAATTATACAAATTCCAAGAGCTAAAGTCAAGGAAAGTAAACAGAGGAAAATATTAACATGGCAACAATGGCCTCCTGAAGAAGTAGGATTTGTCTCTTGTGCTGGCATTTTAATTAGAACCCAGCAATATTTGTCAGAGGGCCTTAAATTAACACGTGCAAAGAGCAAACAAACATCCTCTGAAATATCCCTCTTGTGCCAACATTTTGCTACCAAGGTAGAACTTGTTTATCCATTTGCAAAGGGATTTTTGATGGTTTGAGATTCATATTTGGAAAAAATACAGTTGTGCAGCCCCCTTTTCCCTTGAATTCATCTGCAGGGGTGCTTGCAAAATAAAATTGAGATCTAGGAGGAAAGATTTCATTAACTCCCTTATTTGACAGATGTAACTCCCCTCCAGAAAACAAAGACTAAAACAAAGCACTCATGTCTTGGCTAAGGAAGCGCGCATGTGGGGTGCCGTATGGCAGCCATGTGTACCTATAAGGTTTGCCGTTCTAAATAACTGCATAATTAGAAATCATGTTATGCGTCTTACAGCTCAGGGGAACAATTGTAAATTTACACAACGGAGGAATAAATGGAGAGGTCAGGGCAAGGTAGAAATGTGAAAGCCCCTAGATAATCAAAGGCTCTTGTCTCATCCCTTATCATCACCAAACACACTACAGAAACAGTCTTGCTTGAAAAAAAAATGGCATTAGCATCCACAGTTCCAAGAGGCTTTCTAAAACCCAGGGGGGGAAAGGTTACCAGGGCCTACAGCTGATGCTGCCTCTGACTTGATTATCTGACGTCAATCAGAAGTAGTAAAATAAGTGTTATTTCTTACAATGCATGTCCCCCACCCACCCCATGATCATCATAAGACTCCGGGTGATTTTCAATCATTAAAATGCAACCCCCAATCTGAACCACCCCTGAAAACTTCATAAAAACCATAATGCAATCCAGTCTCCACAATTTAAAAAAAATCAACACAATGACTAAGATTAGACTACAAACCTTACCGAATAACAGCATTGTAACTGCCTTTCTTTATAACTTGAAGGTGGGGGGGGGGGGCGGTTAGCCTCAAGGGAAGGTATTCCCTCAGGCAGGGACAGTAACTGAGAAAACCTGTTCTGGGAGGGCTGTCTCTCCCACCAGTCTCTCTACTGCAGTGTTTTTCAACCTTTTTGTGCAAAGGCACACTTTTTTCATGAAAAAAATCACGAGGCACACCACCATTAGAAAATGTTAAAAATTTTTAACTCTGTGCCTATATTGACTATATATAAAGTGTTTTTCCCACGGCACACCTTACACTATGTCACGGCACACTAGTGTGCCGTGGCACAGTGGTTGAAAAACACTGCTCTAGCAAGCCTCCAATTCTCAAAGAAACCTCTTCCAAATCTGTTAACAATAAATTAGTTTCTGGCCCACCTGGTTGTGTGTCCGATTTAACTGCTGTTAGCTGTGTCTGGACATCATCTTTAAATTGATTTAAGATTGTTATTAATTTACCAAACCTTTTATATAATTTTTCATTTAGAACTTGTAAGTTGAAGTTCAGTGCGCCATTTTCTGGAGTACCCTCTGCCATAAATTATTTTTCTAAGGCTAGGTAGCAAAGCTTAACAAAAGGATTACTGGGAAATTTACAGGTCAACTGGCTAATAACAGTATTTACAACCTAGAAACTCTTAACTTTGTTTTATTTGTAAGGAA